TATCTGGGTTCCCAAAGGCAGGATCTATACAAGCCCCAGCTGACTTCCACTTATCTTCCCAAAAATGGTTTCCTATCCTCCCACCCCAAATACTCTGAGAAACTTCTTGGCAGCCAGTGCTCCAGCTGGCTTCCCAGCAAGTTCAACAGAAACCCTCACAGGCAGCTTCCGAATTTCATCAGCATCTCAGCAGCCGTGTCCACTAACATTGGCCCACCATGAGACCATCTGTGGACTGAAATTCCAGTGAAATTTTCTGCCATCCAATAGGCTGCAACTGTACCTTCCTCAAGGGCCTGAATCCCTGCTGTGGAGAGGATCCTCTCTTCCTTCTAAGTTTTGGGCCTTGTACATTCTCCTTCATCTTAGTGGTATTCTTTAGAGTTCTCTTTCATTCCCCCTTAGTTAATTTCATATGTTTTCTGTATCTTGATTGAAAACTGAATGACATAGAACCACTCCCACTTCCACCCCTGATTAATGGACCCATGTATTCTAACAATGAGGGAGGTAGCACTATACAATGGTGTCTGATCCAAAGCACATACCGCATCCTTTCAGGCAATGTCTCCCAAGTGGTGCCACACCTGAGCCTTCAGTAAGCCATTCCATCTTTTAATTAGACCATTCACTTCCAGGTGATGAGTGATGTAGTAAGACCAGTTAATTCCATGGGAATGAGCCCACTTCTGCATTTCCTTTGTTGTGAAATGAGTTCACTGGGAAGAGGCAATTCTGTGTACTATACCATGATGGTGGGTGAGACATTCTATGAGTACACAGATGGTGGCAGGGACAAAAGAATCACAGGCAGGGACATAAAATCTATCCCCAGATAATGATTCTATTTCAATAAGGAAGAATCTATGCCCCCTACATGATGGGAGAGGTACAATGAAATCAAGATGAAACCTGGTAGATGACCAGTCTATCCAGGAAATGGTGCCATATTGTGGGCTCATGTTGGTCTCTTCCGTCAGAAGACTGAGCACCCAGCAGTGGCAGTGTCCAAAGAAGTCCTCAGGAAGGGGATGTTCATGTTTTTAAGCCCAGGTATCTCTTCCATCCCTGCCACTACAGTCACTTTACTCATGGGCCCACTGAACAAGCATAGGGACTGAGGAATAAAGAGGTTAACTGATCATCACAAAGCATGTCATATTGCTCACCTACTTACTGAAAGCCTCCACTGCAGTGGATGCCCTTTAGCAAACATTCACATGGGACACAAATCTTCACAGTCTATGCCCATTCTGAGAAGCCCATCCACATGACTGTTCTGAAGAATTCCCCCTCATCAATCTTCCAATCCTGTTTCTTCCAAGTCTCTGACCATCCAGCCAAACCATACCATTAACAACTGCTCATAAATCAGTGCAGAGCCATACTTCTGGTCATCTCTTATTCCAGAATGGACAACTAAATATACTGCTTAAAAGATTTTCCCCCACCACTGTATTTCAAGGTCACCCTAATGGGGCTGTGATACCTCAGTCTTCTGTTTTGGGTGGTGTATCAGACAGCATCATCTGTAAACCAGGTTTGAGTTTTCATTGTTCAGCAACTGGTCATAAGGAGCTCCCCAAGAAGCCATAGGCATGATTTGAGGGGAACAAGGAAATGAAGCAGGAGTTGATGTTAAAGGAGTTTGAACTACTAATTCATACAACTTACTCACACCTTCCAGACTTGCCCAAGTGAGGTCTCTTCAATATCATTCTCATGAGATGATAGATTGCTGCCACACAAAGCGAACCTTATAGCTAGTTGTGTCAATAGAATCTTAATTAGCAATCTTAGGCTGCATGGTCACTTGATGTCCCAGTTAGGCATCCAGTCTCTACCACAGTCCAGTAGCAAGCTAGAAGCTGTTTCTTGGGGGTGGGGGCGGGGGAGTGGTGTCTGAATAAACAGGAATAGATTTACTTTAGAATCCTGAAAGTTTGCATTGTGATTCCCCTTTAGGGGCTTAACTGTGATTCCATACAGCATCCCTACCTGCTGTGGACAACTTGAGAATCACTGGATCTACTGGATCATCCACGTTGTAGAAAACCTTTTTCTGAAGCCTTAATTTGCTGCAGAACCTCCTTGACTCAAGACTGGAAGCCTGATGGAGATTTTTGCTCATGAGTCAAAGTTACACACTCAAATGTGACATATGTTGCCTCTAAAATTCAAAATGCCTACCAAGTGCTATGCCTCTTTTTTAGCAGTAGGCAATGTGCAGCAACTTCACTTTCACCTTGGAGAGACATCTCAACATGTTCCAGACCACTGAACCTCAGAAACTACCGAAACGGCAGACCTCTGAAATTTTGTGGGATTTATTTCCCACTCTGTCATTCACATATGTTGTACTTGCTACTTCCTGTTCATCAGGTATAATCAGCTCATCATCAATGTAGTACACCAGTGCAATGCTTTGTAGAATGTCAAAATGATCATATTATCTGTAGTCTAAATAAAAGGAGAAAGCAAGAGAAATTGACTTGGCTCTGAGGCAAGACTGTGAATGTGTACTGTTGGCCCTTCCAGGTAAAAGCAAACTGTTTTTGATGGTCCTCACTAATTGGTACAGAGAAAAATTCAGTAGATGGGTCAACAGCTACATACCAAAGTGGTATACTGAGTTGCTCCAGTAAAGATGCTCTATCTGGGGCAGCAGCTGCAACTGGAGTTAACACCTAATGAAATATACAATAATGCAGTCATTCTCCAAAACCCTTCCAACCTCTGCATAGGTCAAATAGGCAATTTGAATGGTGATGAGATAGGAATCACTACCCCTGCATATTTCAAGGCTTCATTAATCTCTGAAATTTCCCCAGGGATATGGAAGTGCTTCCAGTTTGCAATCATGGCAAAGAGAGGAAGTTCCAGAAACTTCTATTTTGGCGCTTTCTTCCATGATGGACCTCATTCCGTAAGTCAGAGACCCAAAATGGGGTCTCTTCCAGTGAAAGTCTGCCAATTTCACTTATACATTCAGAAACTGGGGGAATGACCAACTGAACACATTTGGGCTAAATATCTATCATCTGATGATCTAAGTCAAGACTTTGAATGGTGGACCACAGTGGCATTTTGCATCCCCAGGAATTATCATAAATTCAGATTCAATGTCTAGTAATCCCCCAAAGGTCTGGGTACTTTCTTTCCCCAAATGCAGTCATTCTAGTAAGTGGCCACAGGTCCCCTTGGAGAAGGCTTTGAGGAAGTTTTTTTTAACTCTTTTTATTTCAAATGTTTTGGGGGCACAAGTAGTTTTTGGTTACATGGATAAGTTCCTTAGTGGTGATTTCTGAGATTTTAGTGCACCCATCACCCAAATAGTGCACACATACCCACTATGTAGTCTTTTATCCCTTGCACCCCCCAAACCTTCCAACACTGAGTCCCCAAAGTCCATTATATCATTCTTGTGCCTTTGCATCCTCATAGCTTAGCTCCCACTTATAAGTGAGAACATACAATATTTGGTTTTCCATTCCTGAGTTACTTCACTTAGAATAAGGGAGGCTTGGAGGAAGATTTATGGTATATACTTATAGCACTACTGCAAGAATCTTCTTCAAAGGATCTGGCATCCTCTTAAATCAAAAGCTCTGATCTGTGAATTGCTTTAGGTCTAGAAATTGGATGAGAAACCATAACTCCAACATAGTCATTCAAGTCAGGTTTTGGGCACCAGTGCTAGAGTTTTGTTTGTTCATTTGTTTTTCTGTTATATAGATCAAGCAGTGCTTTAGTAGGCTATCTGTCCATTTCCTTTCTGGGGACAAAGTGGTCAATTAGTCACCACCAAAGATCCCTATGGGCCAAGGCATTCTAATCACAGGTACATTCCTGCTGCCCTTTATGGTACATCACCCGTATTGTCTTTGGCTATTAAGCAATCCCACTTAGCCTCTGCTGCTCCAGGAGGCTATCATACCCGTGAAATCAAGAAGTTCATAGGAATGATAGCATAATCTATGGTAATAGATTATAGACTATGGTAATAGATTACTATAATCTATAGTAATAACTGGACTATGAAGGTGAACATCCACAGAGTTTCTTAAGGATGAAAGTTCACCTTTCAATAATGTATTTCTCAGTGCCTTAGTTAAGAAGGTGTCTTCTGAGAATTTTCATGGAACATAGTTTGGGGGAGTGGTTGTGCAGGTCACACATGATAAATTCACTCCAACATCCTCTCTCCTTAAGCCTTTGGATTCCCTCTTCCACATTATGCCATTGAACCTCTGGCATTTCAATTTCATTAAATGTAAGCCACCTTCAAGTCCAAGTTTCAGTCAACCAACTGAGTAAACCATTAGAGCCAACTTCAGCTGCACAACTTAACACATTAAATACCAAATCCACACCCATGAATTCAGAATTATTATCTTCCACCCTTAGAATCAGCTCTCATATATATTCCCTGAATTATGTAAAATCTTGCCATTAGCAAAATCTTGCCTTTCTTCTGTTGCATTGTCTCCTTCTGCATCACAGTGAGTACCTGTCCCCTTGGAGCATGCTGAGATTTGACCCTGGTTATGAATCTAGTGGTAACAAAGGGTGTTTGTGGCATCTCCTGAGGATAATGGTCATGCTGTCTCAAGGCATCTGCCCCATATGAGGTTATCACCACGTTTTCAAACAAAGGAAAACTAACCTCCCCAGATACAAGAGGGGAGGGCCTCAGGGAATCAGGATTCTCCATTTCATCTGAGTCCAACCAGATGTCCCTATTCCAGGTTTCAAGATCACATTCTTCCCTAATTTATACCCAAACTTTCACATGAAAAACTTGTGATGCTATAAATTTAACTGACATTTAAATTCTGCCACCCACACAATTAAATTTTATGTTTGGTTTTCAGCAATATCAGCCCTGTGGCTACATGAAATATGAGATTCTTTTACGGATGACATGGAAACTCTGTGGTTCTCAAACTATGATTTCAGCTGATAATTAAATAACCTCGACTTGTCTTTTTTTTTTCTAGTAAGTGCTCCAGTGCATGCAAGATTCATCCCACACCACAGTCCTTGCGGGCATCATTACTGGTGTAATCATGGTCAGGTGCAGGAGTCACTTGAGTTCCCAAGACACTTGCTGCAGTTGGCATTGCACCAAAATCCACCACAGGTGATAGCATCGTTATGATGCCATTATGCTGTAGATTACGAGCATCCCATTCCCACTGGCAAGGAACTCAGCATTGTGCTCAAGCCCAAAGGCACAATGAACCCTACCAAAATCTCATCCTTGCGGGTCTGTCACCTGGGACCATTCCTGCTCTCGATTCCTTATCAATTAGGATCCGGTCAGGAGACAGAGCTCACACCCATAATCTGAACATGGAAATTTTAATATAAAGAATTATTATCTAACAAAGGATAGTTAATTACTAAAAAGGGTAAAAGAACACTCTATGAGACCCAGAAGCAGCAAATGCAAAAAAGTAGCTACTGTGTCTAGGCTGAGGGAAAGTGAATAATCAAGGAATTAGGGCCTCAGAAGGTCCTCCCCTTGACACAGACCTCCTCTATGAGGGAGTGATGACCACGAGAACAAGCAGCCTCCAGTGGCTAAGAAACCTGCCAGGGAAAGTAAGCTGACTCAGTCGACGGACATGGCCGTCTTTGTGGGAACCTGATCCCACATAGGTGCAGGCTGGTGTGAAGTTTGAGTAGGGCTGGTCTATAGAATCGACGTCCAGGTGGAGAGAATGAAGCCTGACGGTTCTTTTCTGTTATACAGAAAAGACGTTTGGAGCTGGTCCACACAGGCCACTGAGGTAATAGCACTGGGCCTTGGTTCCTGTGCTGAGGAAACAAAAATATGGAAGGAGGACCAGAACCTGGAAGGCAAGTGCCTTCCCGCTGCTATCACCTTACAGTGTCCCTCTAGCGCCCTCTCCTGACAAAGCCTGATATACTTCCAGCTGGCACAAGAGAACTGTTCACAGGGTCCAGCTCCAGTATTACAAATCAGGGCAATGAAGGATGTATTTGGAGCTCAGAGACAATAAATTAATAACTGTCATGGGGGAGAGAGGCAGACATGGAAGGGAGCAAAGGGTTGATTGGGTAAGAGGCTAGAAGGGGAAGAGTTTCTATGCCTTTATTAGGGAAAGGAGCATGCATGGGCTGGAGCCCTGGGGAGCAATCCCAGTCCTCTTCAAAGAGAGAATGCAGTCACAGAATAAACACAGCTCAAGAAAGCTACATTGTTCCACTTTCAAACCAATAGAAAATAAAATTCCTGGACAGGATCCCTCTTCCCACTCCTGGGAGTAAGTAGGGAGTGGGTTGAGATACATTTCATTTTTCTTGAAAAGGCTTTCTCAGCTCCTGCTGACTCAGGCCGCCTCCACCCTCTGTAGATTCAAGACATTAAATTGTCCAGTCGCTGGCTTTTACTGCAGGCCTACTAGATGCCCAGCCTTGAGCCCTGTTTGACTGTGGGCCTCAGCTAAGCCTGTCTGTGGCTGTGGCTGAGCCTAGCTTGTGAGTGTTGAGAGGGCAGACTGGTTTGTGGACAAGAGAAACTTCCAGCAGACAATGTGTTTCAGGTTTAGATCTGCCAGTATTTCTCCAGTGATTACAAGAGCAATGGTTTGGAGTCAAGCGACATGGCTTCTAACCCTGTCTTGGCTCTTTTCTAGCTGTGTAGCCTTAAGCAATTCACCTCACCTCTCTGAGCCTGTTTCCTCGTATATCAAATGGTTTTGGTAACATCTATCTCTCAGGATTTCTGGGAAGATTAGAGACAACATCCACATTAGGTACAATGCAAGGACCTGCCAAAGTAGGTACAGAGGCCCATCAGACCAAAGCTCAGACTATACCTAAGGTTTCATCAGGCTCAGAGAAGGCAAGTGCCTTCCCGCTGCTATCACCTTACAGTGTCCCTCTAGCGCCCTCTCCTGACAAAGCCTGATATACTTCCAGCTGGCACAAGGGAACTGTTCACAGGGTCCAGCTCCAGTATTACAAATCAGGGCAATGAAGGATGTATTTGGAGCTCAGAGACAATAAATTAATAACTGTCATGGGGGAGAGAGGCAGACATGGAAGGGAGCAAAGGGTTGATTGGGTAAGAGGCTAGAAGGGGAAGAGTTTCTATGCCTTTATTAGGGAAAGGAGCATGCATGGGCTGGAGCCCTGGGGAGCAATCCCAGTCCTCTTCAAAGAGAGAATGCAGTCACAGAATAAACACAGCTCAAGAAAGCTACATTGTTCCACTTTCAAACCAATAGAAAATAAAATTCCTGGACAGGATCCCTCTTCCCACTCCTGGGAGTAAGTAGGGAGTGGGTTGAGATACATTTCATTTTTCTTGAAAAGGCTTTCTCAGCTCCTGCTGACTCAGGCCGCCTCCACCCTCTGTAGATTCAAGACATTAAATTGTCCAGTCGCTGGCTTTTACTGCAGGCCTACTAGATGCCCAGCCTTGAGCCCTGTTTGACTGTGGGCCTCAGCTAAGCCTGTCTGTGGCTGTGGCTGAGCCTAGCTTGTGAGTGTTGAGAGGGCAGACTGGTTTGTGGACAAGAGAAACCTCCAGCAGACAATGTGTTTCAGGTTTAGATCTGCCAGTATTTCTCCAGTGATTACAAGAGCAATGGTTTGGAGTCAAGCGACATGGCTTCTAACCCTGTCTTGGCTCTTTTCTAGCTGTGTAGCCTTAAGCAATTCACCTCACCTCTCTGAGCCTGTTTCCTCGTATATCAAATGGTTTTGGTAACATCTATCTCTCAGGATTTCTGGGAAGATTAGAGACAACATCCACATTAGGTACAATGCAAGGACCTGCCAAAGTAGGTACAGAGGCCCATCAGACCAAAGCTCAGACTATACCTAAGGTTTCATCAGGCTCAGAAAGCAGATACTGGCCGGGCGCGGTGGCTCACGCCTGTAATCCCAGCACTTTGGGAGGCCGAGGCGGGCGGATCACAAGGTCAGGAGATCAAGACCATGGTGAAACCCCGTCTCTACTAAAAATAGAAAAAATTAGCTGGGTGCAGTGGCGGGCGCCTGTAGTCCCAGCTACTCGGGAGGCTGAGGCAGGAGAATGGCGTGAACCCGGGAGGCGGAGCTTGCAGTGAGCCGAGATTGCGCCACTGCACTTCAGCCTGGGCAACAGAGGAAGACTCCGTCTCAAAAAAAAAAAAAAAAAAAGAAAGCAGATACTTAGGCCAGTAGCCTGGGCACTAATGAGCAATGCCAGCCCTGTTGTCTCTGAGGGACGTTGAGCCCAGTGCTCTTCAAACAGGGATGCATTAAGAGAATAAACACAGCCCAAGAAAGCCACATTATTCACTTTGAAATCAGCAGAAAATGACATTTCTGGTCAGGGTCCCTCTTCCCACCCCAAGGAGAGAGTAGGAGGTGAGCTTAGATGAGTTTCCTTTTTCTTGAAAGGAGTTCTCAGCTCCTGCGCTCCCGCTGACTCAGGCCACCCTCACTGTGAGAATCCAGCAGGCTAGGATGATCCGGCAGTGTTTCAAGCAGGCCCGCCGCCTGCCAGCCCTGGGCCTGGAGAGGCTGTTGATGGTGAGGTTCAGTGGAGGTGAGCCCAGCTAGAGCAGACTTGGGAGAACAGCCTGGCTGAGGGTTGAGAGCAGCCTCAAGCAGCTGGTGTGGTGCAGGCATAGACTGGCTGTTGTTGCTGAGTTTGCATGAGCACTGGCTTTGGAGTCAGTCCCAAGTTCTAGTCCAGAGACTGAATCTTTTCTGGCTCTGACATTGAGAGCTCTGCCCTCAGTTCTCTGAGCTTCGGATTTCTTGCCTGCTAAATGGGCTTGGTCATACACAACTCTCAGGATGCTGGGGAGATTAGAAACAATGTCTGTATTAGGTACAATGCACAACAGTCACTATCATGATCACCAGGACCAGCCAGGGTTGGGGTGCAAGCCCGTCAGACTAAAGTCAGCGTAAAGCCACCAGCCTCAGAAACCAGATGCTTAGGCCAATGGCCTGGGGCCCCCTGAGCAATGCCAGCCCCATTGTCTGAGGCATGTTGAACCTGATGCTGTCCTACTTAGAATGAGCTCCTAGAAAGCACCTAGTTCTGCCTCCTCATGGACACATCAGGAGACTGAGCCCCAGGTGTTTGCTCAATGCCACACAGCATGGTGGTAGCTGAGCCAGCATTGGAATCCAGCCTCATGACATCAAGCCATGTGGTCATCCAAGGACTAAAAATGATGTGCTTAAGAGTATAGGCTTTGGAGCCAGACAGACCCGAGCTCCAGCCCCAGCTCTGCAACTTTCATTCATTCAACAAATACTCATTCAGTTCTTGTCATGTGCCAGGCACCATGCCTAGTGCAAGGGACACAGGAGGACAAGACCTCCATGGCCCTGGCCTCTCGCCGCTCACAGTCTGGTGGGAACAAATACCCAGTGAATGAACAAGCTCATCACCCACTGTGAGAAAGCAATAAGGGACAGACACAGGATGGGCCCTGAAAGAGACAGGGGCAGTGGGTGCTGGAGGGCCACTCAGAGTATTCAGGGAGGGCATCTCAGGAAGGGGACATCTGATCTGGGGACTGGACACCAGGCAGGAGCCAGGTATGCAGGACTGGAGAAATGTGTCCATGCAAAGAGCTCAGAATGATGGGGGAACAAGAGCCTGGAGTGAGCAGGAGCGTGCAGAAGGGACGTGGACAGAGAGGGTGGAGCCAGGACATGCGGGCCTCAGAGGTCATGGTCAGGAGTGCAGAGCTCATGCACACAGCAGCAGGAGGCACTGGAGGGTTTCAGTAGGTGAGTGACGGGATCTGCCCTGTTTTTTCAAAGGATCACACTGGTTGCTGTTGTTTGTGTGACCTTGTTGTCTCTCTGACCTGGGCAAGTTGCTTAAGCTCTCTCAGCCTCAGTCTCCTCATCTGTAAAATGGCGATGATCACAGTACCCACCTCACAGGTGGAACTGGAGACTGACATATGACAGTCTACAGAGGGAACTGAGCAGTGTGCATTTCAGTGCCAAATAAAGCTTTGCTTTCTCACATCCCCACATCCAAAGCCCTCATCCTCTACCAACTGGCTATTCATTGCCTGACTTGAACCTGTTGATCCTGCCTATGCAATGACTCCATTATTTCTGCACTGCCCTTAAAGCCATGGGGGTGTTGAGGCCAAAGCTCATTAAACTCCTGTCCATCAGAAGTCAGCAGGGGGAGGTCCCTGGAGCCCAGGGAGAGAAAGTGGCCAGGCCCCACTCCCAATGAGGGCCTTGCAAATGGCCTTGGCATCCATCAGTGACACAGCTCCATCTCCTGGGTGCCTGGAATATATAATGCGTCCCAATCAGGGACCAGCAGAGAGGTCACAGAAGTAATCATTGCTTTCGCTGACTCCTACAGCCAGATTTATTATGGCATAAAGAACAACTTAGCTTCTGGCAGTAACAGGCAGCCGGCCTATCTGCACTTGTAGAAATCTTATTTGCTGGGGCCTGGATGGATGGAGGTTTCTACCCACACCTGCTCGGCCGGAGCCCTGGACAGAACCCGGCTGGACCATTCATCTTCCTGTGCTCCAGGCCACCTTGTCCAAGAGGCCACCACCTCTGACACATTTCACAGCATTTGGGAAGCCGTGCTTAGGCCACAAATTCCCCATCTGGCATTGCACTGAGGGGATCCTTGGGCTGTTGACCCCAGGGAAGCCACAGAGCAGAGCAGATAAAGGCCCAGGTGTGGAGTCAGCCTAAACACGGGTTCAAGTCCCTGCTCTGCCATATGTTGGCCAGGTGACCTTGGGTGAGTAAACTCACTTCCCTGAGCCTCCGTGTCTTATCTCTAAACTGAAGGGGTAGGAATCCCCACTTTAAAGAGCTGCTGTATGGAGTGAGGGAGAGATAAAGGGTGTAGGGCACACAACACAGGAATAGGCACTAACTGAAAGGTGACCGTCACCATTTTCATTATCCAGGGGCTTCAGTATTATGGTATGAGATGCCTTTTATTGAGGGTCAATTATGTCACTAAGGACTACGCTGGCTCTTTTTAAATATTTTGTCCCTAGACCTCACAACCAATCCTGCAGATAGGTCCCGTTGTGTTTATTGCAGGGTTGTTAGGGGATTGTGCAAGGTCACCCGACTGTGGGGTATGGAGCTGGGGGTGGTACCTTGTCCTGTGGGTTCTGGAGCTGGTGCTCCTTCTAATACACAGCCCACCTCCCCAACTCCTCTGAGAGGCCAGATGCCCCTGGTCAGTCGGGCAGGCAAGTCCAACCTCTCCTTCCTTCCCTCCTTCGTGCCAACATTTCCAGGGCACTAGCTCCAAGGCAAGCCCCTTACTGGGCAATGGACACAAGATGGCACAGAAACACTCCCTGCCCTTGAGGAGCCAGCACCGAACAGAGCAAAGGGCCGAGCCGCATCCAGACTGCTCCACACGCGTGTGCATCAGCGAAAGCTAACTGTGTAAGTAACAAGGGATTCCAACAGACCGTCTTCAGAGAAAGAACCATTTAGCATCTCTCCCAGTTCTAGGGGCTCACTGGGCAGTGTCTTCTAAGCTTAGCCATGGGGCTACACTTACCTGACAGGTCAGCTAGACTAGAAGGTCCAAGACAGCCTCACTCACAGCCTGGGAGTTGATACTGACTGTTCGTGGCATGCGCTGGTTCTCCTCTGTGTGCCCTCAAATCATCCGGTAGGTGAGACAGGTTCCCTTGTATAGCAGAGTTCCAGAAGAGCGAAAGCAAAAACCACAAGGCCTCATGAGACCCGGGATCCAGAACTCACATGCCGTCACTTCTGCCCATGCTACTGGGCAGAGCAAGTCATTTTCTATCACTGGGCCAGTACCCATGACACACATTTGTGATCCATCACGTGAGGCTCAGAGGTCAGCTCAGAATGAGGATGAGGGGTCAGTCTGTGCCCCAGTCAAGTGTGATCCTAACTGGCCAATTAATTTTTAACTCAGATTAAAGTATGCTGAATTGTGAGGTCATTAGAATGGGTTGTATCCTCTGACCAGTGGAGAAACTGAGGCACACAGGGTCAGCCAGTGTGCAAATAGAATGAGTACATCATAGAGTCAGCCTTCATATGAAGAAACTGAGGCCCAGAAACAGGAATTGTCTTGTCCAAGGTCAGGCAGCAAGTCTGTGACAGAGCCAGGAGTGACCCAGGTCCCTACCAGCCAGCCCGCTCCTCCTCCCTCTCTACCCCATGAGGAGGCTGGGGCTGGGAATGGCCTGGGCTGGGGCAATGGGACGGTCATCCTCAACAGGGCTGTGTCTCCTCTGCCCCCATCTCTGCCATGTTTGTAAAGTGAGCCCTTTCAATGCGCCTGGCACTGCATAAGGCACTTAATCATTATCTCATCTGATCCAAACAGGACTGTCCCCACTTTACAGACGATAAAGTAGGCCCCAGAGAGGGCACTAACTCACCCAGGATCTCGCAGCTGCTGGGCCCATCCGCCTGACACCACAGCCTGAGCCTCCCATTCTGCCCCAGAAAGAGCTCAACCTGATCCAGGGCCCCCAGTGGGGTGAGAGGCAGCTCTGTGGCCCTCAGGGGTCTCAGGTTGATATACCCTACCTGAGGAACTGCTTCAGAGGCCTGGGTGGGGGCAGCAATGGCCAGGGTCCCTTGGAACCAACTCTGAAAGTGGAAGGACCCTGAGTGATGTCCTGGTCCACACTCCCACCATTTTACAAATAGAAAAACCAGGACTGGATCAGAACCCAGGCTTCTCCAGGGCCCTCCCACTGCACTGGAGGCTGGGGGCAGGCGAGCAGGCCCCATCAGGCTGGTGAGACACACACAGGGCTGCTCTGTGGCATTCAGAGAGCACGTTTATTTACAAAGCGCTTTACAAACATCAGCTTATGCCTCCCCACAGCCCCCTGCGAGGTAGGTCAGTAGTCATATCTACAGTTTACAGATGGGGAAATTGAGGCACAGAATGGGGGTGTGGCCTGCCCCATGTTAAAGAGACCTTCCCAACCACCCATCCAAAAATAACAAAAGAAACAAAAAAGCACTGGTCCTCCTTCCTCTGAACTCCAGAGGGTATGACCAGCCCTGCTCTAACACTGCCCCTCCCCACAATGGGCAGCCTGACCAGGAGCCACAGGGGCCTCAACCCCAGGGGCTGTTGTTCACCCTTGCAGATTGTCACTGGCCCAAGGTGAGCAGGACAGGTCAGTGAGGCCTGAAGATTAAAGGAAGAGGGGGGCAAGGTGACTTCATTCTGCAACAGTGGGTCAGGCAGGGAAGGAGCCCACCGTGGGGCACAGCAGGAATCGGCAGATCCTGGTTCAGGGAAGCTCAGAGCACATATCAGGGAAGCAGAAGTGGGGAGGGAGAGTGAGCAAAATATCCCAGGGGCTGCAGGGAGCAGTGGGGAGGAGGGCACTGCAGTTCCCCTGGGGAGGACAGTCAGTGTGCCCCACTGGCTGTTCAGAACAGAGTCCTGCCTCCCCAGGACCCTCAGAGGCTGTGCCAGATGGAATCCTAGATGCCAAGCCCCAGTACACCCTCTACCCACATGCAGAGGGGGCAGGCTGAGTGGGAATCTTGGCCTGGGATACTCTCTGCAGGGCCTCACTCAACCCTGCCAAAGGCCAGGATGGTGCCAAGAGGCTTGGCTTGAGTACCCCAGAGCCGGCCGTCCTGAGCCCTTGTTACTCTGCCAGGCAGTGCCAGGCCTCTCAGCACAGGCCTGCAGGACCCTATGGAGGTGGGGCTGGGCTGCAGACTTGCTAAGCTCCTCCTTGGCCTACGACCTGCCCATGGGACAAAGTGAAAGACCCTGCCCACCGTGGAAGGGGCAGCAAGATGGCCCGGCATCCACTCCAATGCTTGCCCCACGGGGGTGTGTTTGGGCAGAGCAGGAGGCACTGATCTTCCTCGCCAGTCCAGGATGGTGGGTCTGGCCCTGAGTGTGCAGTGGGTGCCCCAGGCCAGGGCCCCGCTATCTTGACTCCAGCCCCTCCAAGTATTCCAGGGCCACATCGTAGCAAAAGTGGTACTGATCCTGGGGAGAGAAAGAGAGGGAGGAAATCATGAGCCTGACCCCGACTCCAGTATTGTGGCCGGGGCGGGGGAACGGGGAGCCAGAGGGCAAGCATGAGCCCAGGCCTGCCCTCGGGGAGAAGGGGGAAATGGGGGTAATGTTTTAGGACCACAGGGCTAGAACCAAGGCCCAATGGTGGGGCCCAGATATGGGAGAGTGGTTGCTAAGGAACCTGGCCTGGCATGGACCAGGAAGGTAGAAGTGGCTGGGCACGGGACACAGCCCCTCACCATGGTCTCCACCATGTTGGGTTTGTAGTTCCGGAGGGTTTTGGCAGCAAAGAAAACGTCCACCAAGTTGTGGCAGCGTATCATCTCCAGGACGGTAGAGCAGGCGCAGAAGGTGCCGCTGCGTCCTCCCCCATTTCTGAATGAGAGATGCAAAAGGTTTGGGGCGGGGCTCAGGAGTCAAAAGTGAGGGGTGGGGCCTTGGAACCTGAAGGTAAGGAAAGGGTCAGGGAACCACGAAGGAGGGGCAGAGAGCCTAGAGGAGCGGGACGGAGCTAGGGAATCTAGAAGGGTGGGGCAGAGAGCCCAGAGGTGAGGGGCGGAGTTAGAAAACACAGAAAGGAGGGGCCAGAGAGCCTAGAGGAGAGGGGCGGAGCTAGGGAACCCAGAAGGAAGAGGCCAAAGAGCCCGGAAATGAGAGGCAGAGCTAGGAAACCCAGAAAGGAGGGGCCGAAGAGTACAAAGGTGAGGGGCGGGGCAAGGAAACTAAGAAGGGCCAAAGAGCCCAAGGTGAGGGGCAGAACTAGGGAACTCAGAAGGGCGGGGCAGAGGACCCTGAGGTAAGGGGTGGGGCTAGGGAACCCAGGGAGACGAGGAGAGGGCCCAGAGGTGACCAGCAGGACCAGGTTAAGGAGGATCAGAGGCTAGGGCATCTCAGAAGACATGTTCGCAAGGCGAAACAGACTGCAGATTCTGAGAGAAAGGAGGCCAGACACACTCCAAGAGAAACACCCGGAGACAAACGCAGTGACAAAGAACGGCCGGGTAGCAGCAAGCGCGTACCCAGAGAGCAAGGTGGAACAGGAACGCTGAGAAGACCGGTCACCACCTGGCAACGTGGGCACACAGGCACAAACGTACCCACACCCCAAGTCAAGCCCACAGCCTCCCACAGAGCTCCACCCCCTCTGTGCCTCTCCCTCCTTCCCTGTGACTCCATGTGTGGGGTGCCTCCTGGGGGATGGCAGACTGAGGCGGCCCTCACTCCCCTTCTCAGGGGTCTTTCCCACCAGAAGAACCAAAACCCCTGGGGGCCAGGTCCAGACTGACTCAGCTTCCCACCAGCTTCCAGTAGGCCCAGCCTGCCACTCGAGAGGCTCGGTAAGTGCTGAAAGCATGAAAAAGTGGGGAGCAAGGGAGTGACTGCACCCAGACATGAGTGAATACATGAACTTATGAATGGGGTATGCAGATGGATGGATGGATGGATGGATGGATGGATGGATGGATGGATGGATGGAAAAAGTCGCATGTGTGCATGCATGAACAAAGGCTGGTATCCTGTTGGCATAAAAAGTGTGCCACAATCTCATGGGGTAAAAAATTCTGACAAAGGACTCTCAAATTGGCAAAGTCAGACATCACACAGAGGGTACTAGGCAATTGTTCAGGGCTGAGTCTATAGCCTGGAAACTGACTGGATTCCTCCAGGGCCAGCCTTGGCTGGTTGGGCAGCATCCAGGTCACAGCCATCTGAGAGCCCAGGGGTTTCGGTGCCAGCTTTGCAGTCCAGCCAAAGCTGGCACCCTTTCAGACTGGACCTCTGCCCCTGGCTCCCCAACCCCTCCCCCCGCCCTCCTGCAGGGCAGGTACTCACAGGCAGTGCACAATGGTGCGCCCATCCCCACTCTCAGCCTGCCACTTGTCCACCTCAGCCAGCAGGTGCAGGAAGGCTTTCTTGGAGTCAGGCGTGTCCCGGTATGCAGACCAGCGCAGGAACTGGAAGTGCCGCACCAGCAGGTGCCCCTCCTGCAGCTGGAGACAGGGGCAGCCAGCCACGGGGACATGAGCACCAGAGTCCCAGGGGCCCCTGATGACCCGGAGCGTCATTAAAAGCTGCCCCAGCCACCACCCAGGGTCTTTCCCTGGGGCTCCTCAGACCACTCACCCGAGAGATGTTCTGCACCCGGAAGACTCGGGCCACTAAGTCTTCATCTGCTGTGCCCGACATAAACTCCACCTCCATGAGGCCATACTGCTGCCGACCTGGCTCTGGCCAGTACTGCAGGCAGGGCTGGGCATGGGCACGGAGAGGGGAGAGCTGAGTAGAGCCTGGCTGGGGCTCACCCGATAGCCATGCCCACTCCCAGGGCTCCACATTTGCCCTGTAGCTCCCACGCACCCTGGCCCACCCACTCACTCCAGACTCACCTTCAGCGGCCCTCCAGTCACCACCAATCACCCACAGGCTGCAAGGCCCACCTGTCTCAATACGTTCTGCACTGACACGTTCAGATCAGCCAAGACGAACCCTTCGCAAACAGTGCACTGATGCCTACTGCTGTGCAGCTAGAAAGCTACACCTTAACCGGTTCACACGCTCCTACATGAGGCTGCCTGCTTCCAGGAATAGGCCTGGATCACTCCCACCCACCCCAGAACCTCCCCCAGCCTTCTCTCTCACTGCCTCTGCCCTTCAGCACCAGCTCCCAGAGGTGGGGTGTCCCTGATGCTGCAACACAGTCCAGTACTCCCACTTCTGCCCCAGGACCCCTCCATGGAGTCAGGGTCCTAAATACAACCCCCTCCCAGACTCCAGACTGTGGAGGGACAGAGGAGGTACAGCCCTCCGACTTCATACACACACACACGTACATATACACACACACGTGCACACACACACACGCGTGCACACATCCTCCAGGCTAAGTATCCTGAGCCTCAGTTTCTAGTCTTAGCTCTGCCTGAAGCCCACGAAAGGCTCTTCCTTTCTCTTGGCCCCAGTTTCTCCATCTGTAAAATGCCTCCCAACCTCTTCCAAAAAGACACCATGCTCATCAGTCCCCTCTGACCACAGCCCATGACAGGAGAACACCACCTTCCCCGTTTTGCCTCAGGTCCTGGCAACGCTGTGCATTCAGAACTCTGCACAGGCTGCTCCCTCTCCACGGGTCACTCTTCCTCCACCTCCTCAGCTACTCAACTCTGCCCTTCCCACATATCTCCGGTCAGACACTACCTCCTCCAGGAAGCCGTCGCTGATACATGGTCCCCTGGGTTTCTCTGTCCCTGTGCCAGCTCTTTGAAAGCCCTTTTCCCTCTGTGCTGTCACTATCAGTTTTTCTACCTGTTTCCTCCTGGACCAGGAGATCTGGGAGGGGCTGTGTCTCTTCTGCCTCTGTCTCCTCCCTGCCCACTGCAGGGAGCAGTTCATGGGCAAAGTTGGTTGAACAGATGAGCAAATCAGTGCCCAGTGAATGATGTCTGTGTGAGCCTCCCTCTGGGCCTCTCCCCTCTACCCGAGCAAGGATGGTTCCTGCTACACCCAGGGCTGAGGCCCATTACCCTGTAGTCCTGGGTCATTTTCACAAAGTGCCTGATGCATAAAGAGCCCAGTTAATGAAATATTCTCCAGGAGGCCATTAAAAAGCTGCTGTACTCATTTTACAGCAAATCTTCCTAGCCCCGAGCCCAGCAGAAAGCCGGAGTGGGAAGGGGTCCAGAGACCTACAGCACATGGTCAGGCAGGGCTGGAAGGCTGGGTATCTGTACTTCTTGGGAGCTCCAAAGGGAAATGGGGGAGTCAGTGGGGCTGCCCCCAGGCTGAGGTCACTGAACCAGTGTCTGGGCCAATCTCAAATGCAACTGTCACACTCATCATCTTTGTCCCTGCCTACTGCCTACACGTACCACATGCCTACTGTGCACAGACACAGCAGTGCCATGCATCCTATGCACACCTGACCTGGTCCTCACAGTAACCCCTTAAGAACAGGTCCTATGATGGCCCCCATTTTACAGAGAAGGAAAGTGAAACTCAAAGAGGTCAATCAACTTACCCTAGATCAAACAGTCAGAAAGTAGGAGGCTTGAGTTGTACTCTACCTCGGAGGCCCCCGTGAAGGGCGCTTTAGTGGAGTGACTAAAAGAGCAGAAGCTCTGGAATGAGGCAGCCGAGGCCGGGGAGCGCAGCTCTGCCCCTCCCCAGCCATGTGGCCATGGAGAAAGCACTGTACGTCTTTGGGTCTTAATTTTCTCACTGAAGCCTTCCCTCCAAGGTCATTATAGATTCTAAATAAGACCATGAGTGCAAAGCAGTCCCTGGCTTAGCAGGGGGCCAATAAAGAGCAACTGTGGACAGATGCAATGGCTCATGCCTGTAATCCCAGTACTTTGGGAGGCCACTTGAGGGAGTGGGAGGATCACTTGAGGCCAGGTGTTCAAGACCAGCCCAGGCGACATAGTGAGACTGTGGCTCTATTTAAAAAAAAAAATTCAGCCAGCTGTGGTGATGCAGCCTGTAGTCCCAGCTACTCCACAGGCTGAGGTGGAAGGGTGGCTTGGGCCCAGGAGGTTGAGGCTATACAACGCAGTAAGCTATGATCCCGCTACTGCACTCCAGCCCGGGCAAAAGAGTGAGACCTTGTCTCAAAAAAAGAAAAGAAAAAGAGCAACTAGTGGTCTCCCATCTGACACCCTTGTTTTACAGATGAGGAAACTGAGGCTCTAAGAAGGTGTATGACTCGTCACACAATAAATAGATGGCAGAACTGGGACCCAACTCTTGGCTTTGGGGACCATGCCGCTGAATACACAGAGGACCTGGGCAGCAGGTGGCCCGTCGGCCTGGCCAGTGGAGGCCTCACCCAGGCGGAGTTGGACTGGTTCAGCTGGTTGAGCATGACGATGGAGGTGCACCCGTAGTCGTAAACCAGTCGCCAGAAGTCAGGCGTGGTGCTCTGCAACGGGTGCAGGGTCACGATGAAGGCCGCGCTCCGTGTGTAGCTCTGCAGGGAAACCAGGACCAGGGAAACTGGGACTCAGCGGGGCCCTGTTCCCGGCCCCTGGCCTGGGCTGAACCTCTGCCCCAGACTGTCTTCCTGCACTGCCCACCCTGAGTTGGGCGGTTGTGCCCCACAGGACCAGGCTGCCTCCAGTGGGCCATTTCTGATGTTGGTCGGCACACGGAGGCCCTGGGTTGACAGGGTGGGCCCAGGACACCCCAGAACTAAACAGCAAAAGTTTCCAAAGGTATGGTGAGGGGAGCTTGGGCATGAGGCTGAGCTCACGGCAGAGGCTGGCCAAGCTTACTCCCTGCCTCTGCGCTTCGGCATCTGCTATTTTGGCTGCCTAGGCCAAATTTCCCAAATGTCTATATGGCTCTCTCCCTCACTTCTTTCTGGTCTTTGCTTATCACCTCCCCAGAGAAGCCCTCCCCTACCACCTCATCAAAAACAGCCCCCCGCCAACACCCCAAATCCACATTAAACACTCTGCCTGGCTGTTTTTGTAGAAATTTCCAGTTGATGACATTTCATTGTATATTTATTTCCTGACTATCCCACTCCATCGCCTAAAAGCAAGGTTCAGGAGAGCAGAGCTTCCAGGGTGTGGTCTCCACCCAGAGCCCTGGAGGGGCTCAGTAAATATTTTGAATAAATAAATCTCTAGGTCCCTCCCAACTCCATCAGTGAAAGGTCTGGGACCCCAGGCTCCCCAGGCTGTGACAGGCCCTGACGCTGCTCACTGCTCCCTCGTCCTGCCAGGGGAGCTGGCACCCGGCCTTCTCCCATCAGAGACCTGGCTCCCAGGCTCCCCTGGTGACCTGCCCTGCCCCACCCTGTGCCATGTCCCCCTCTCTTTCCTGAGCTCTTCTCCTGACCCCCCGTCTTCCTCCCGACCTAGGGGCTGGCACAGGCTCCCATGACCCTGGTCTTTGTCTGGCCTCTTCTGGCCTTGACCCTGACTTGGGCCCTGACCAAATCTTGATCTGCCCTTTGTAATCCTGCAAGTTGCAGTACAGAGAAACAAGAAGCCCCCCCGGTCCCCCAGTGGTCCCTCTCCAGGACTCTCTGAAGGCTCTTGATTAACAACTCCTCAAGGCCAGGCCCAGCCAGACTCCAAAACTCAGGCCTGGGTGCCCAACGGGGCTCCTTGCAGACTTGACCACCACAAAAAGACTCCAGCTGGCCTCTCACTGACGAGTTCAGGGCCTGTCTGAGAAACGGGGCCTCCTGGCTCCTAAGCCAATAGGACCCGCATGGCTGAGGTCAGACGTCAGAGGCATCAAGGACCTCAGGATGGGACAGGGCTGTCCCAGAACTTCTCCATGTGATAACCCACCCATCAGGGCCAGGGAGCCCCAGCTCAGGACCCTCAGACAGTCTCCCTTCCAGGCCCCCAGTGTGCAGATGGGCACCCTAAGGTCAAGGAGGGGGCTGGGCACGAAGGTACAGCTTTCTAAGTTTAGTTCAAAGATCTTCCCAGCACTACATGCCACTCCTCCAGGACCCCTGACCCCTCAGCAGGCGGGATGTCCCCAGGCGAGCATGTGAGCACACATTCCATCCACCAAGCTGAGTGACAGTGACCGATGGGCCCCTCACATCTCTCTCATCAGCGGCTAGGGCTGCTCTTCCCCTCTCCTTCAGCTGATGCCCAGAAGCCCCGTGGGAGGTCACCCTCTTTAAAGAAACCCCGTTGTCCCCTGCACTGTCCTGCCAAGGGGTTCCTGGCCAGGCATCAGGCCATAAAAAGTCCATCTCCCTCTTACCCACTGTGGGAGAACCTTCCCTGTCGGCATCCCTCATTTCTGTATGGAGAGACGCAGCGGTGACACACCTGGCCCTGACCCACCCTTCACTCACTCCTCCCATAAGCGAGGCTGCTTGGCTCCACTCCCTCTTTTTCCAGGCCAGCCTACCCTCGGAAAGCATGCAGTCAACTGCTCCTGCTCCCTGCCAGTAACAGCCAGTCCCTGACAGGGAGGGGTGGCCTGCGGTTACACAGCTATACTGGGGAGAGGCAAAGAAGTGGCCCACCCATTGGTCACACATCTCAAACTCCATCTCCAGTTTTATCTATAACATTTGATCTCCACCCGTGTGTCTCCTGTGTCTATCTATGTATGAACTGGTTCCAGTGTCACAGAGGAATAGGGATAATAATCTTAGACCCTTCCCGCCTCAGACAGCAGCATCTTGGAGCCATTTATCAGGGGCCTAAAATGCCAGCACCCATCTCCTGCGCCGCTTGCAACCCTCAGTAAAGGAAGCAGAGCCTCTGAGCTGGGAGCAGGGAAAGAGACTTCTAAACGGCTCCTGAGCCCTCAGAGGGCCCACGCCCACCCAGAGAAGAATGGGGCCAGAGATCACTGTCCCAGGCCTGGTCCTGGAGCAGACTCCAGCTCATTCTCCCCAAGACAAGCTCCCCTGGCTCCAGACATCAGGTCTCAAGTTCCATCCCCAAACCCTCGAGGTCTCCCCAGCCAAAGCCCCCTGAATCACTCATCCTACCCCAGGCTCTGCTGGGCCTGATCCTGGAGACAGCCCTGCCTGAACTCCACAAACAGACCCCACTCAGGCAGAGTGTTGGGGACACTGGCTTGAATACCCTGAATGGAAGATCCCTAGGGGTAGGAGGGTCACGCACGATCCTGTTTCCCAGAATGGGCAGGGGTTCCCCCAACCAGAGCCTTCAGCTCTGTTCCCTTGGCCCGTGGACCTTCCCTGATGCTGCCGGGAGGGGGAGCCCCAGAGCCCACTCCACCCCGAGCTCTCACATCAGTCAGAGCCGCATTAATATAGTTGTTGGGGTCCCCATCAGTGGAGATGAGGAAGGGCAGGCAGCGGTCGGGCGGCAGGACGTCCATGCTGCGGTTCTTGTCGCGGTTTCGGGGCAACAGGGCGATGCTGCACTCCTCCACGTCCAGCGGCGGGGTGACCGAGTTCAGCGTCTACAGGGAGCGGGGGTGGGGACAGAGAGTTATGTCCAGAGCTTGCTGGGCCTCCTCACATCCCCAAGAAGGAGGCTGGACTGAGTTACTAACTGCATTTTATGGATGGAGAAACTGAGGTCCAGAGAGAAGGGTACAGGGCAGGGACCCAGACTCCCGGTCTCTAGGCCATTGTAGGGCCTGGACAGAGCTCTAGAGACCAGAGTCTACCTCCTTGCCACCCACATAACCTCAGACAAGCTACTGCATCTCTCTACCTCAGTTTCCTCGACTGTGAAATAGGGAAGTAATATGCCTACTTCATGGGGCTGTTGGGAGGCCAAAGTGAGATCATGACAAGCACTGGGCTGGGCTCGGCACACACAGACGGGCACAGTGAGGATCTCTACTAGCTCATCAGTGCCTTCACTGAGGCAACCCCTGAAACTCCATGCCCTCCACAAAGCAGACTCCAGGCACTTGGAGAGGGGGTCACCTTCCTTGGTCACGGCCCTGTCTGAACAGAATGAAGTCCTAAGCACCGGGCACTGAATCACACCCGGATCTCTGGAGCATCTCCTCCACCCGCGTGCCTTCACGCCTCACACAGCCAGACCCAGGGGCTCTGTTTCTTTCTCTTGTTCTTGGAGATCCCTCACAGGGAACACAGCCTATCATGATCCCCAAAGCCTGACACCCTCCTCCTGGAATCTTGCACCTCCTGTGAGAAGTGCCAGGTCCCCAGCACGTGCCATCCTGCTGAGCCATTGCAGGAACCCTGGAGTGGAGAGGACTACTGAGGTCTCTGCCCACCCAATGATCACTCTCAGGCTTCTCTGGAGAACCAGGCTTTTCCCATCTCAGCCATGTGATATGGTGAGCCTGGTCCTGCCCCAAGAGCCAGGCCTTGGGTACGTGACCAGAGCCAGGGGCAATCAGTGAGCTCCATCTCTCTGACCTATGACTGGTCCAGGGATGGGAACATGAGAGTCTGATCTAGGACTTTTGGGGGGATGCTGGGAACAAGTGCCTTTTTCCAAAGTCACTGGACAACAGGGATGACAGGAGCCCAGCACTGCTGGAGGCCAGGAAAAGTCTGAGAATGAAGCCAAAACAGGAGAGCAGAACCAAGGCAGAGAGAAACCACGTGTTGGCATCATCATCTGAGCCTCTGGATCCAGCCACAACTGAAGCTGCACAATCCTCAGGCTTTTCAGTTACAAAAGCTGGATTTTTATCACTCACAACCAAAAGAATCCCAATGAATACAAACACTCCAAGGGACATACTCACACTTTTCTTCTCTGGGTAACAAAACTGAGGCTCAGAGAGGTAAAGGGACTTGTTCAAGGATTCTCACAGCTCTTAACTAGGTAAGCCAGGATTTGAACCTGGGTTTATCTGACTTCAAAGCCTGGGCTCTTAACTGCTTTGATGCACTCCCTCTTCCGCTGTCCCAAAGTCCTTCCTAGTAGCTCAGCTCTGTCCCTCCAGCTGTGGCCTCAGGCTGGTCCCTGCTTCTCGGCCTTCAATGACTCCTGCAATACTAAGGACGCCCCAACACACACACACACACACACGCGCACACGCACGCACACACGCGCACACACACACACACACACGCACGCACACACGCACGCACACACGCGCACACACACACACACACGCACGCGCACACACACACACACACACACACACGCATGCACACACGCACGCGCACACGCACGCACACACGCGCACACACACACACACACACACGCACGCGCACACACACACACACCCCCCCCATACACGTGCACTCGTCCCCCACCTGGAACTCTTCCCGCAGCTGGGAGGAATTACTCTGAGGATCAATGCGGATCATCTCCTTGTAGGTGGCCTTGAACTCACTGACAGGGATGGTGGTCTCCCCACACAGGCAGGCCTCCAAGATTGCATCATGAATGAAGATGTACTGCTCCTGGAACAGGAGACGAGAATGAGGCCGAGGAGGGGCCTAGAAGCTGGAGATCTGTGGTGATGGGGCTTCAGCAAGCTCAAGGTTGAGGCAGGGTGCTCTGAGGTAGAGGCCAACCGTGTGTTACCACAGGCTGGACCAAGCCTACCCAAAACAACCTCCATGGACATGCCCCTTTATCTCCTATTTCATCCCTATCCCCTATAACAACCCCGTGAGGTGCTCTGAGAGGTGGGGGACAGCCCACGATCACACATCCAGTGAGGATGCAATCCCGGGTATGTCAGCTACAGGACCCGTTGTCTGACCCCACCCAACAGAACACAGGGGAGCAGTCCAGGATGACGCTATGCGGTTGGCGGCTCAAGGTCAGGGATGAGCTGAGGGAAGGGAAGAGCCTCAGGACACCCTTTGGGCATGCCCCGCCGGCTCCAGGCTCCTTCACGAGAAACTCCAGTCCTAGAAGTAAGGGTGGGGACAGGGCCAGGTCCCCGCACCTCAGTCTGGATCATGTTGACGCGGCGGGAGCAGAGAGTCTTCACACAGTTGTAAATGTCCACGACGCCCTCACACTCTGCCATGTCCAGCATCACATCCAGGACGATGTAGCAGCCTGTGCGGCCGGTGCCCGCGCTGGAGAGAGAGCAGCCCCAGGCCACGTCAGAGCTTTGGGGAGGAAGCCCGGGACTAAGGAGAAGAAGAGAGGAGGGCACTGGCCATGTCTACACCATACAGAGGACAGGGACACAGAGATGATTGCCCCTCCCCAAGTAAGGAGCCAGGGCGCAGGCTGCTGGATGGAAGAGCACTGGTGAAATGTGCTAGAGGACAGAGATGGGATGGGCCTTGGGGAAGGAGAGGAGAGAGGGTGGGGAGAATACAAAGGTGACACTGGCTCAACCTAGCAACTTAAGATTAGGAGAGGAGACCCTCGGAGCTAATTCAAGAATGTTCTTTCCTCCTGAAAACCACCAGATCTCCTACACATCCTCTAAAAGCCCACACACTCATACCCATTCACATAGCTGGAGCATCCCTGACCCTTCCAGGATGATGTCATTCTTTTGAGGTCCCAAAGCAATGTGGGCAGGTTTTTATTAAAACACTCTTCATGGCCACGCACGGTGGCTAACCCCAGCACTCTGGGAGGCTGAGGTGGATGGATCACTTGAGGTCAGGAGTTTGAGACCAGCCTGGCCAACATAGTGAAATCCTGTCTCTACCAAAAAATACAAAAATTAGTCGGGTGTGGTGGTATGTGCCTATAATCCTAGCTACTCAGGAGGCTGAGGCAGAAGAATCGCTTGAACCCAGGAGGTGGACGTTGCAGTGAGCCGAGACTACATCACTGCACTCCAGCCTGGATCACAGAACAAGATCCTGTCTCAAAAAAAATAATTAATTAATTCAATAAAACACTCTTCCTGCTACAAAGTCATCGTTTACATGGCTATCTCCCTAATTTGACTGAGGGCACATCAAGATCCTTGTCCTCACACAAGGTTGCGCAGAGTTGAAGGGGAAGGAGACTGGACAAAGATGACAGCAAGATTTCAGGTTTCAAAATGGTGGCATCCACGTGCTGGCAAGGACATATAGCAACTGAATATCCTGTATATCCCTGGTGGGGCTTAACTTAGCACAACCCCCTTGGAAAACTGCTCAGCAATATCTCCTAAAGCTGAACGTTCACACAGATAACAGTTCTACTCCTACATGCATACCACACAGAAAGAAATACATTTCTTGGCCAAAAGACATACGATCGAATGTCCTTAGCAGCACTACTCATAATAGCTCAAGACTGGAAACAACCCAAATGCCTATCATGGCAGAATGGACAAACACACTGTCATTTATTCACTCGATGGAAGATGATCCACTGTGGACGAACCTCACAAACCTAAAGCTGAGGGAAAGAAGACAAACAGCAAACAGTACATGCTATACGATTCCATTTATGACAAGTCCAAAAACATGCGAAACTAACTGTGCTGTAGAAGTCAGAACAGTGATTTCTCTGGGACTGGGGATGGGGGAATTCAGGCCAGAAACGGGCTCAAGGGGGCTTCTGGGAACTGTTCATGTTCTGTTCCTTTCTTTACTTTAAAAAAAAATTTTTTTAGAGGCAGAGTCTCGCTCTGTTGCCCAGGCTGGAGTACAGTGGTGCAATTACAGTTTACTGTAACCTGGAACTCCCATACTCAAACCTCCCGCCTCAGCCTCACAGGTAGCTGGGACTACAGGCTTGTGCCACCGCGCCCCACTAATTTTTTTTATTTTTGTAGCAATGAGGTCTCATTATGTTGCCCAGGCTGGTCTCGAACTTTTGGCCTCAAATGATCCTCCCACCTTGGCTTCCCAAAGTGCTGAGATTATAGGCATCTTCGCACCCACGTGCCCAGCCAATATTCTGTTTCTTAATCTGAGTAGAGCTGGTTATTTCACAGGTGTGCCCGGTTTATGAAAATTCATATTTTTAAACATATTTCTGCACTTTGCTTTAAGTGTATTATATATCAATAAAGTTTTGTTTTGAAAAGATGGCCTCTTAAAGAGGCCTAAAGAAATCAAAGAGAAGCTGGTTTAGGTGGCAGGGCAGGGAGGACGACTCTACCATGCGGCATTTGGGGAGCTGATAAGAACACAGTAGAGGAACCACAATGAGACCCAGAGGCTGTGGACAAAGCCACAAAGGTTGGGGGTTAGGCTCTCCAGGAGGAGACAGAGGGCAGACCAGGACAGCGTGCTGGGTCCCCATTTAAGAAGCAAGAGAAAGATGTGGAGCCAGGGAGGAAGCAGAGAGAGGAGGGGAAGCTGGGGTCACGGGAGCCAGTCAGGGTCTGCAGAAGGTGTGACAGCCAGTGGGTGGGCAAGGCCCACTGGGTTTGGCGGAAAGAACTGAAGTCCTTCCCACCCCCAGGCCAGGCCTAGCACGCAGCAGGTGTACAACGAAAAGCTGCTTACTGAAAGCAGGCAGAATTCAATCGTGTGGTGTCTCACCAGCCCCTAGGCCCTTCCCTATCTCCAGTGCCTCCTCAGCAACTGGGTCAAGGGGCTTCACAGGTCTTCACAGGTCTTGGGGAGCACATGAAGGTGCCAACTTCAGAGCTACAGCTCAAAGGGGACAGGGCCTTTGGGGGTTGCTCCCTCCTGCACTTTATCTCTAAGCAGGAGAACCCAGGCCTGGTCTCCACTACGGATCCTAAACCAACCCAACCCCAAGCCCAACTTCCCAGGGAGAAGGGCCCCTTTTCTCCTTGGGATTCCCAGTGCCCCACCTGCAGTGGATGACAATGGGCCCGGCATCAGGTGGGGTGGAGGCCTTCACGCGCCGGATGAAAGCCAGCAGCCCCGTGGCGTGGTAGGGGACGCCATGCTCTGGCCACGCTGTGAAGTGGAACTGGCGGACCTCGTGCCGGGCAGAGTAGCCTCTCTGGGGAGACAATGGGAATAACAGTCAGAGTCCCTGGCAGCATCTATTAGACACCTGCTGTGTGCCAGGCACTGTGGTGAGCGTCTCATTGTATAATCTCAACTAATCCCAATGATCAATTTATTGATGAAGTAGATATTAATGTCCCATCGTACAAACAAGAAAACTAAGGCTCAAAGAGGAGAAGCCACTTTCCCAAGGTTAGAGAAACCAACAACACGCAGGATTTGGACAATGGTCTGCCTGATGCCTAAACCTGGGTTATGAAATACTCACCTCTGCCACTAGGTTGCTGCGTAAACATAGATCATTTTGACTCCCAGGGTCTTAATTTAAAGGAAAAAAACTATCTTTCCTCTGAGGACTTTACAGAGCAGATCAAATGGGATCGTGGACAGGACTCGCCAGCCAGTCACGGACTATGTGGCCTCTCCTGCCTGGCATAAGCCCTCTGAGCCTCACTTTCCGTATCTGGGCTAATCCCATGGAGCTTTCCAGGACTGAAACAATATGTGTAACAGGCTCAGCACAGAGTACGAGCCAGCGCCTGGCAGATACTGTCATCCCCTTCATTGTCTCGGCTTCCTCTTATGGGCACCAACAAAGGCAGTTACCTTCCTGCCCTTCCAGAGTGCTCCCAGCAAACAGTGACCAAGTAGCTTCCTTGCTGGGATGGGCAGCAGTGTGCTCCTCACCCTCCTGCTCCCAGAGCTGGGGGAAGTGGGAGTGGGCTCTGATCCCTGCTCAGGCACCCTCTGCAGGGAACAGGCGGCGGGGAGACTCACCCGCTCCAGGGCAAAAGTGCGCACGACATACTCAGCCAGGGTCTCCGTCTTCACCAGCGTGATCTTGATGTCCCCGTAGGTGTCTGAGTCCTCTGGCCAATACCGTGAGCATTTCACCTGAAGGCCCCACAGGACGGGATTCAGTGGGCTCGTCGCTGCCCCCTTGGCCTGCCATGCGCCCCAGCTCGCCCCACAGCCCAGCTTACCCTGCCCACCTCGACCAGCTTGGTGATCATGACGATGCTGGAACAGTGCTCCTGCCACACCATGCGCCAGAAGTCATAGACCATCTCAGGCTTCGGCCCTGGGGATGCAGAGGATGCCTGTCCCTGAGACAAGGTCTCCACCCCAGGTCAGCACACCCAGCACCACGCCCTAGGCCAGGAGGCCTCCTGAGCCCCAACAGGGGCTTCATGCTGCCCACAACACCCAGCTTGCAGCTGACACCTGCCTATAGGGCCCTGAGGCTGCATTGCATCAGGAGAGGGCCTGGCTAAAGAGCCCGCTCATCCTGAATGGGACCCTGGAGGAGGGCCAGATGGTTTGGCAATGGCATGAGTGTCCAGGAGGGACAGACAGATGGACAGTCGCGGAAAGAGATGCAAACAGAAGAACCCAGGCAGCCACCAGACCGAGAGGCCCAACCCACACCCATGAGACCTGAGCCCGGCTAGCCCTTTCGCAAACACCACTTTGGAGACAGGCAGGTGGGCCAGCAACCGCAGATGGACCAAGCACATCAGGGAGACACAAACACAAAGAGGGGACAAAGGCAGTCGGCCAGATTCCAAGAGACCCAGCAGAATAGGGAGCAGATGAACAAGCAGGGAGCCAGAATGTGGCGAGGGTTGGGGGACATTCAGGAATCCACGTGGATCAGCAGGGGAGGCAGAAAGGCAAGCTGAGGGCATTCCAGCATGCCAGGAGGCACACAGGAAGGTGCACGTGGGCAGAGGTGCCAGGTACCTTGAGTGGCTATGAAGTGGTTTGACCTGTGGTAACCCTGGAACAGGAGGAGAGGGAGCGGTTAGACCCCAGGGAGCAGCCCCTCACTCCCTCACACCCCCTCTGCCCTCCCCTCCCAGCGGCAGAACCCCTACCCCACCAGGGAACTGTGCCCTCGCATCCCTAGGACCTCCTACCCAGGGTGACTTTGCATCCCCCCTAGTCCCCGAGGAAGTGGAGAAATGCAGCTGGGACACCAGAGTTGTGGACTTAATCCAACCTGGGCTGTGCAACCCTGGAGAGAACATGACTCCTTTATGTGCCAGGCTGTCGTTGGGAGACAGAGTCCCCAATGGCCCTGCCTGTTCCCAGGGTTCCAGAAGCTCTAAACAACCCAGATCCCAAATGTGGGGTAACCAGAGTTTGTCAGTTATCCTAGCCCCCCTCGGGATAACCAGCATGGACAGTACCCCTCCCCCCTACTCCTCAGTCACTCAGAGCATGGTGGGCCTAGATGAGGGCTTCAGGATGGAAGTATATGGGCACAGGCATTACTCATGGCCCTTAGATAAAATGTTAAAATCTTTAAGGTCAATAATAATGACCCTGTTATGGTCACGTACTGTGCTAAGCACTTTACCTGTACCACCTCCCACAAGAGAGAGGCCAAGAGCTACTTCATCCTCCATCCCCAGAGCCCCCAAGCTAAGGAGAGAAACCTGCCCTCCCACAAGCCACCCCAGGGCCACAGCCACCCATGAGGTCCTGCCATAAGGCCTCATCTTTCTAAGCGAAAGAATTCACCAGATACCAAGGGCATCAATGCGGGCAATGCGGAAAGGGGAATTAGTACTGCAGGGCTGGCACGGAGAAAACTAGCCCAGGCCCCTACCTCAAGTTTACACTCTCAACACAGCTCCCAGCAACAACTCTGGTCTCGTGAACTTCCCAGGCCTGAGGAGCCCGGGGGCCAGACTGCCAAGGTTCAAATCCCAGCGCTACCTCTCACTAACTGTGTGCCTTTGAGCAAAAACCCCTTCATTTCTCTATGCCTCCATTTTCGTGTCTATAAAGTGGAACAATTACAGCATTTACCTCTGAGGGGCTGTTGTGATGAGCAAATAAAGTAGTATGTTAAATGCCTGGCACTGGGTCTAGCACAAAGTCAGTACTTAATCAGTAACAGCCATTATTACTACTACTACTACTATTTTAAAGCTGAAGCAGTATCCTTGAAGATACAAATGAATCAAGTGGATCAAATGGAAGTCACGAATTGCTGGGGCAGAAGGTGATTAACTATGGGGTGAAGAATCCGAGTCTTGGAGCTGAATGGACCTGGGTCCCTGCCACAGCTATGCAGTAGTAGCTGTGTAACTCTGAGCGCTGAGAAGGTGCTTCTCAGTCTTTCTTGAGCATATAAATCTCCCGGGGATCTTGTTAAAAGGCAGATTCAGATTCAAAGGTCTGGGGTGGGGCCCAGGATTTTGCATCACCAGTTCCCAGGGGGTGTCCATATTGCTGGCCTCAAAACATCCTCTGAGTAGCCAGGCTCTCAACCTCTCTAAGCCTTTGTTCTCCTCTGCAATATGAGGATAATAGCAAGACAAACACTCAGAGATTCTGTTGGATACCTGCTCACTGTTCCCATGAAAATGACCAAAACACAGTCAAAGTGAGTAATGATGAAAAGCCTCCCAGCGTCTCCCAGCCCACAGCACTGGAACTTCATGTCTAGCTCAATTCCCTCCTGCTGTCACTCTATGCCACTGTCTCCACTGCAGCCTCGAACTCCAGTGCTCAAGCAATCCTCCCACGTCAGCCTCCCAAGTAGCTGGGACTACAGGCACAGGCCACTACATCCAACTAATTTTTGTTTGTTGGTTTGTTTGTAGAAACAGGGTCTCACTATGTTACATAGGCTGGTCTAACTCCTGAGCTCAAGCAATCCTCCTGCCTCAGCCTCCCCAAGTACTGACATTACAGGTGCGAGCTACTGCACCCAGCCAAGAAATATATTTTTTAAAGGAAAAAGGAGACAATATGGAAAAAGCACCCACAAAATAGCAAATAATCATATCAATCATTAAATATTATGGAAACAGTATATATGTATTAAAAACTCCCAGCCTAGGCAACATAGTGAGGCCCCATCTCTCTCTCTCTCTCTGTCTCTCTCTTTTTTTTTTTTTTTTTGAGTCAGGGACTGGCTCTGTTGCTCAGTCTGGAGTGCAATGGCATGATCTCGGCTCACTGCAACTTCTGCCTCCCGGGCTTAAGCGATCCTCCCACTTCAGCCTCCCCAGTATCTGGGACTACAGGCATGAGCCGCCACACCCAGCTAATTTTCGTATTTTTTGTAGAGACAATCTCACTATGTTGCCCACGCTGGTCTCGAACTCCTGGACTCAAGCAATCTGCCTTCCTTGGCCTCCCAAAGTGCTGGGAAGACCCCATCACTTTAAAAAAAAAAAAAAATGAAAAAAATTAGCCAGGCATGGCAGCACACGCTTGTAGTCCCAGCTACTCAGTAGGCTGAGGTAGGAGGATTGCTTGTGCATACGAGTTCAAGGCTGCAGTGAGCCATTATCACACCCCTGCCCTCCAGCCTGGGTGACAGAGCAAGTATCTGTCTCAAAAAAAAAAGAAAAAAGAAATCAAATCAGAGAATAGCTAGATGAATTATGGTAGTTTTTTTTTTTAATTTTAAAAGGCTAAAAAATGGGCCAGGTGTGGTGGCTCATGCCTGTAATCCCAGCACTTTGGGAGGCCAAGGCAGGTGGATCACCTAAGGTCAGGAGTTTGAGACCAGCCTAACATGGTGAAACGCCATCTGTAATAAAAATACAAAAATTAGCCGGGTGTGGTGGTGCATGCCTATAATCCCAATTACTTGGAAGGCTGAGGCAGGAGAATCACTTGAACCGGGGAGGCAAAGGTTGCAGTGAGCCAAGATCGTGCCACTACACTCCAGCCTGGGCAACAAAAGTGAAACTCCGTCTCAAAAAGAAAAAAAAAAAAAATGCATAATTTTAAAACAGAATATCCAAACTGCTCCCTCCAAAAAACATTCAAATTAAGGCTAAATTGAGGGGAAAATGGTCAGGGTTGAGTTTCAGGCAAACTGATCACGAAGGTATTTGAACACTAGGGAAAGCAGTTTTAGGAGGCTGACCTGGGGCTGTCCAAGATCTTGACCCTCAAGCAGCAGAAACAGGGCCCTCCAGGGCAGCTTCCCCTGCACCCTCCAAAGGGTCCTGTAGAAGGTGCAGCTAGGGAGGACTCCTGGGGAATGGCGGGGCCAGGGAAGGAAGGTGACAGACAGTGGTGACCAGTGCAGAATGGGGCAGGGGAAGCACCCCCAACACTGCTGCCCCTGCTCAAGGCAGTGGAGGATGGGAGGGAACTGCTTACAATAGGAACACTCTCGAATCTTCAGCCCTGGGCGGCCCCTGGCCAGGCTGCTGAAATGGACGGTTGGTGCTGGGCACATAAGTAGAAAGGAAGGACAGAGACAGAGAGAGAGAGAGAGACAGCCAGAGACTGTGAGAGAGTCTGAGATACAGCCAGTCAGACAGACAGGAGGAAGAGGAGGAGGAGGAGAAGGGGAGAGAGATACTTACTTCTCGGTTTATCCGAATCTTAATGATTCCAGTGAGGGAACAGTACAAAGCAAAAGAGACAGATATTAGGCCAGGGGCAGATGGAGGTGGACGGAGCACAGGAGTGGCCAGAATGGGCAATGTGAGCAGGGCAGGCAGAGCGGAGACGGGCAGGCTGGGCCGGGCTGAGCCACAGAGTGGGGAGTGGTGTGTCCCAGCCAGGGCCCAAGAGAAGCCAACTGGGACCTTGACAAGACCAAGGAGAGGCCCACTGTCACCAAAGCTGCCCAAGTCTGCGAGGCCAGGCCTGGCCCTGACTCCAACCAAGGGATAGGATGAGTGGGGGAGGCAGCAAGGGATTCTGGGAAACATGGCATGGCACATCTGGCCCCAGGAGGAGGAGAAGAAGAGGGAGAGGAGAGGCCACCTCCAGAGGCCCTGACTACCTCGGCTCCCAGACCTGTGCCTTGCTCCGCCTGGCCCCTCAGGCCTTTGCTTAGGCAGCTCCCCACCCGGGATACTCTTCTCTCTCCTCTCCAGCCACCCAGAGGCAGCTCAAGCCCTGCTTCCTCCACAAAGCCCGCCACGCCAGCCCTGGCTCTGCCACTAGCCTGCTGTGTAACACTCAATCTGTGTGATCTCTCTCCTGGCCTGCGCTTGCTCATCTCATCTGAAGTTATTTTGATTTGTAGAAATGTCTGTCTCACCCATTCGAATAGATACATTCAAGGAAAGCAGAGGTCATGACTGTCTTGTTCACATCTGTATCCCTGGTGCCCAGCACAATGCGTGGCACAAAGGAAGTGCTTAAAATTTATTTCATACGTGATTAAATGATGCTCTCCCAAACTTGGTTTGCTGTAGGGGTTAGGGGCCCTGTCCCGTCTCAACCCTCTTCCACACCTAGGGAGTAGACTCATCACCTCTCCTTGACACCCAAGCCCAAGCCTCCTGGCTGCCTACTCTGTCTCTGGCCCCTCCCTCCGATCCATCCAAGTCCTGCTGCTGCAGCAGGGGGCAGGACAGCCTCACGGCAGCAAAGGCTTTAGAGACAAAGACAGGCTGAGATTTGAGTCCTTTCTTTACCACTCACTAGCTGTGCAACCCGGGACAAGTTGCTTCGCGTCTCTGAGCCCCGGTTTCCTCACCTGTAAAGTGAGGTCATGGTGCTAAGTGCCTCGGAGGGTGGGTGGAGGGATTACAGAAAAGGAGATCTTGGGTGTAAAGTGCTTAGCACAGTGCTTGGCACCCAGTATGTGCTGGATAAACGTGTGTTGTTATTCTTAAAGGACCACTCTGATTATGGTCAAAACACTTTAACAACTCCCTGGTGCCCCTAGGAAAAAGCCCCCACTCCGGAGCCTGCCATTTTAGGTGTTCACAATCCAGCCCCTGCCTACCTCTTCAGCCTCACGGTGCACGGTGAGAATCCCATTCTCCATGCCTCCCGCCTTCCTCACCTCTTGGCCTAGCTGTCTGCCTCTTCCCTTTGCTCTGCTTCCCTAAAGCACCTCATCTCTCAGGCCAACTCCAGCCTACGGAAAGCCTTCCAGAATCTGCTGCCCACTGTCCTCCCTCCTCTGAGCACCCTGGCACTGACTGCAGAGATGGGGGCACTCCAAACTCAGCCACTTGAACCCCCATTTATCCCAACAGGTTTCTGCCCTGCCTGGATAGTAAGCCTGGAGCGGGCAGGGCCAGGTCTGCAGAAATGACAGGGCAAGGCACTCACATCTATGTAGTTGGCATTAATGTAGTCAGCATTGGGGTCTCCCAGCATCGGGTGCAGTTTCACTCGGTGCCGATCATCTGTAAACACAGAGCAGGTGGGCAGGGGCTGAACTGGGGAGCCCAGAGCTAGGCAGTCAGGGAGGGATTCCTGGAGGCTGGGGGATAGGGCACAGGCAGGGCCACCAGGGAACCTAGAGTCTCAGGGCTTACCAGTAGTCTCTGGGCACCATGGGAGGCAGGACACACCAGGGGGTAGAGTCTGGGCTATGGAGTCAACGAGGCCCAAGAGTGTATGCTGCTCAGGCAATTACTAGCTCTGAGACCTTGAGCAGGAATCTTAATCTCCCAAGCCTCAGTTTCCTTATCTGTAAAACGGGGATTATAGTATTTCCCGCTTCACAGGGGAATTGACGGGAATAAATGAAACAAGCACAGGGCGTGGCATGTGGCAGGCCCTCAATAAAAGGTGGCCAATGCTACTATCATCTCTGAGGCTGCCCCAGCTCACTCTGGCTGTGCTCCCCTTCCTGATGCCCTCCCGCCCACTGCCCTGGACCCCAGGCCCTTCCCCAGGACTCACAGGCAGGCATCGGCTCCTGCCGGCTGCCCTTGACCTTGTCTTTCTTCTTTGTGGCGTCCCAGCCTTCAAAGAAGCTCTACCAGAAGGGGAAGTGGTGGTCAGTGGGAGAGAGGGACCCTCACTCATAGGGCCCCTTCCCCTCAATGGGGATGATGTAGGCAGGATGGGAGTGGGACAATAAGGGCCAGGTTCAAGCTGAACTTGGGCCTGAGATAAAGTCACTGTCACTGTGGGTCCTTTTATCATAAAGCCAGGGACCAGGGTCAAAACCAAGGCGTGTGGGGGGAAGGGAAATGAGAAAAGAGGAAAAGAGGGTCAGGGTTCAAAGACATTTTGGAATAAGGGTCAGGCTGAGAATAAGGACTAGAAAGAAGGCAAAGGTGGGGGTCAGATTTGGATTAGGATAAGGGCGTTGTCGGAGTTCAGACAAAGGTGAGATGAGATCCAGAGTTCAAATGGAGCTTAGGATGACACTCAGGATCAATGTCAGGCTGGGATTAGGTCAAGGTCAGTGTCGGTGGGCAGGTTCAGATTAGGGACAGAATAAGGATCCCGATCACAGTCCACATAAAGATGGAGACGAGATTCAAAGTCAGATTTCAAATCAGGGTTAGCATGAGAGTGAAAAACCGTATCAGTCTAAAATTCGGATGAGGGTCAGAGTCAAGGTCAAAAAGGTTGAGTTGGGAACTGTCAGAGCAGAAGTCCAACCAGGGCTAGGCTGAGGGTTGCCAGGGTCAGAGTCCACAGAGAGTGAGAACCAGGTGAGGCCTCCGCAGGGGTCCTGCTGGCCCGGGGCCGGCGTGCACCTCGTACTCCTGCTTGAAGCCGTAACCCTCAGCCGTCTTCATCTGGTTGATGTGCTGCAGAAGGTCCGCCACACGCACTGCAGGGTGCAGCTGCCCCGTGTGGTACGGGGAGCCCTTCCGGCCACAGGGACGCCTCGGGGAGCCCCCCAGGAGGCTGCTGGCCTCAGTGACCCCACCGCTGCGCTGGTCTCCTGCAGTCAGAGAAAGACAAAGCAGTTCCTGACACACACGTCCCAGCCTTGGGGGCCCTGGAGAGACTGGGGGGTATGGGGGAAGGGAGGCACAGCCAATGCCAAGGATGGCTGGGTTGTTGGCTGGAGCCAAGCACCTAGTCAGGCCCACCCTGTGTGATCCTGGGCACATCCCCTCCCTCCGAATCTCAGTTCCACCTGTAGAATGAGCAGGTCAGATCAGGTGGTCTCCGAAGGCCCTTGTGACCCTGCCTGGCTATGATTCCATTATCCCCTCACTCCACCCCACGAGCCTTCACCGCACTCCCTGCAGAAGGCAGCGCTCCGCAGAGCCCATGACAGACAGCCCCTTCTTCCTCCCTTCTTCCAGAGAACAACCTGGAACACTGGCAACTCCCAGCAATTACCCCCATTCAAAGACAAGCAAATTGGAAATTAGCAGCTACTGCCAACCCCTCTGCAGATTAATGTGAGGCACCTGAATAGGAGCCTGCCTCCTGCGCAGGCAGTTCCACTGTCAGCCCGTGCAGGGCCGCAGCCAATGGGGGAGTGGGTGGAGAGGTGCGTAGCTCCTCACACACCCTGGGAAACCACCCTCCCCGCAGCCCCCAGGACCACCCTGTCCCCGGCTGTTCTGCTCAGCATTCCCAAGGACATCCCACTCTGGTCTTGGAGATCAGGTCCTGGAACTGAGAAAACAGCCACACCCGCCTTGGGACACACACTTCCACTCACTCACTTAATACTCATGCATTGCTTAACAACAGGGATACGTTCTGAAAAATGCATTGTTAGGTGATTTGGTCTTTGTGAGAACACCACAGAATGTATTTACACAAACCCAGATGGTACAGCCTACTCCACAGACCTGGGCTGCACAGCATAGCCTATTGCTCCTACGCTACAAACCTGTACTGAATACTGTAGGCAATTATAACACAATGGTAAGTATTTACGTATCTAAACACAGAAAATGCACGGTAAAAATATGCTATAAAACATAATAAATGGGCCGGGTGCGGTGGCTCAAACCTGTAATCCCAGCACTTTGGGAGGCCGAGGCAGGAGAATCACGAGGTCAGGAGTTCGAGACCAACCTGGACAACATGGTAAAACCCTGTCTCTACTAAAAATACAAAAAGTTAGCTGGGTGTGTTGGCATGAGCCTGTAATCCCAGCTACCTGGGAGGCTGAGGCAGGAGAATCACTTGAACCTTGGAGGCAGAGGTTGCAGTGAGCCGAGATTGCGCCACTGCACTCCAGCCCAGGCGACGGAGTCTTTTGCAAGACTCCGTCTCAAAAGAAAAATAATAATAATAATAATAATAAATGGTACACCTGTATAAGGCAATTTACCATGAATGAAGCTGCAAGACTGGAAGCTGCCCTGGGTGAGTCACTGAGTGACTGGTAAGTGAATATGAAGGCCTAGAATATTCCTGTACACTACCATGAGCTTTATAAACACTGTATGCTTAGGCTACAATACAGTTATTTAAAAATAGTTTTCTTTCTTCAATAATAAATTAACCTTAGCTTACTGAAATGTTTTAATTTTAATTTTTTGACTTTTATAATGACACATGCACATAGTACAGCTGCACAAAAATATTTTCTATCTTTATTCTATACACTTTTTTCTATTTAAAATTTTTTTTTGGTTTTTTAAAATTTTTTGTTAAAAACTAAGAGACACACACACACACACACACACACACACATATTAGCCTAGGCCTGCACAGGGTCAGGATCATCAGTATCGCCGTCTCCCACCTCCACGGGTCTTGTCCCACTGGGAGGTCTTTAGGGGCAATAACACACATGTAGCTGTCATCGCCTATGAAAACGGTGCCTTCTTCTGGCACCCTTCCTGAAGGACCTGCCAGAGGCTGTTTTACAGTTAACTTTTTAAAAAATAAGTACACTCTGAAATAATGATTAAAAGTATATTAAATGCATAAACCAGTAATACAGTCATCATTATTAACTATTACGTACTGCACATAATTATATGAGCTAAACTTTTTTACAACTGACAATGCAGTAGGTTTATTCCAGCATCACCACAAACCAGTGAGTAATGCATTGCACGACGACATTATGACGGCTACAATGTCACTAAGTCATAGGAGTTTTTCAACTCCGTTATAATCTTATAGGACCACCATGGTATATGCAGTCCATTGTTGATCAAAACTTCATTATGCGGTGCATGACTGTACTCATGTCCCTCCTCCTGCCCTGGGTGAGGTTGCAAGGGGCTTATTCAAGTCCAGCCCTCCCATTTTCGAGCCAATCTCTGCCCAGGTCTAAGCTGGCAGGGTCCAGTGGGGGACCGTCAGTGGGGCTTAGATACCTGCCCCTACTCCATATATGTTATCCTTCTCCCTCCAAAATCCCTCCTCCCCCCAAAATCCCTCCTCCCCCTACTTTTCTTGCCTGATGAACTCATACTCATCCTTCAACTCTCAGCTGAAATGACCCTCCCTGCAAGAACCCTCTCCAGTGCCTGGCCTAGAATTCCTACTCAACAACTAACTGGCAGACTGAATACAGGATCACCAGGAGACCCCCTGACGAGCCCTACTTCCCCAAACTCCAACCAGGTCAGTGAGGCTGCCCCATTGTGCTTGGGTTCCACCTTCCTGTGCCATGGTTTGAAGATGGCCTCACCTCATTTGTTTCTCTGCTCTCAGGAACCACAGTCTTGAGCTGTCTATAGTTCAATGTCTGAAAGCAACTGATTCCTATATTTTAGCTGGATTTCTGGTTGCTTACAGCTGGATGGCAAATCAAGTACCAGTTATGCCATTGTGGTGGGATGCCCAAACCCTTAATTTTACAGATGGGGAAATTGAGGTCCAAAGAGAACAGCCTGGCCTAATATGGTGGTTGCCAGAGTGTTTCAGAAAATAGTAGGGATGCGAGATCGTTAAGTGGTATCCCATTAAAAAGAAGAGCAAGAGGAGGAAGAGGAATTCTGTGTTTTAAAGGAGTCTGTGAAATTCTAGTTTAAACAAAAACAAACAGGTTTCTTCCCTGCAAGACCTCTCGGGGCTTTTGGCGTGTTTGTGTGCATTTTAAATCTTCAAGAGAGGAGTGGAAACAGCAATGTTTCATAAACATCTTTCGCCACGGAGGGCTTTTCTTCTTTGTTTCATGAAACATCCTCAGGGGAACACGATGCAATGTAGACTCTGAGAGATGGGCTCTGGAGTCAGACTTCAGATCAATTCCCAGCTCTGTATGTGACCGTGAGGATGTTACTTACTCTCTCCACACTTCCGTTCTCACATGTCAAGTGAAGGTAAAAATTGTTACAATCCAATATAATGATGTAAATATTAAATATAATAATGTATATAAAGCACGCAGCCCAGTGCCTGGCACACAGCGCGCACCTGCGAGGGCAGCTATTGACATTACTAGTCATTTCCAGGAAAGGAAGGAAGCTCCTGAGTGCCAGAAAGCCAGGGAAGCTGGCTGACAAGAGTCTTGGTCCTTCTCTGCTGTAAGATCTTGGGTCTGTAACCTAAAAGGCAACTTGAAAAGATGATTCCAAGGAGCGTCCATAACACACACACAAGACAAGTGCAACACTTTCAAGAAGAGGGACTTCTGTTGGCTCAAAGAACTCAGAGAAGAAACTGGCGAGATGGAGAAGCCCTCGTGCTCTTTGTGGAAAGTGGGCCGACAGCTCCACAGAGAGCTCTCCTGGCAGAGAAAGGAGCAAATGAGGGTGGCAGAGAACCAAAGAGTTTATCCCAGAGATCCTGAAGAGCTGGCAGCCCTGGCACAGCCCCACAAGGAGGTGTGCAATCAGCGCACAGTGGCTGAGAACAAGCAAAAAGTCCCACCTGGAAAGCCAGAGCCACATCTGGGCAGCTGACAGCTGAGCCTAAGAACACAAGATGTTCTACAAATAAGACCACCAGGAAAGGACAGGATGATGATGTTCCCAAGAGGACCCTCCAATTTCTGGGCCCAGAGAGGACAGGTCTCTACTCTCCTTGCCTATGAGTTCCCCTGTGGGACTTGAGACACACTTCCTACTCCACCCCATCCCCTACCCCTAAGGACCAGTTTGCCCAGAGGCCCACCTTCAAAGTCTCTACCCCAGGGCTCTCCCAGGCCCTTCCTGGCTCCATCATGACTGTGGAACATCTTCTGTGAGTAACCACTGGACAGCTGATGTTTTACGGGGAGGGCCGAGGCCCAGAAAAAAGAACACTAGGTTTGGAGTCAGAGAGACCTGAATTCAAATTCTGGCTCAAGTTCCTTGACCTCTCTGGGTCTCAGTCTCCTCATCTGGAAATGAAAATCCTCAGCCCTCCCTCAGCGATGGGCACTTCCCCTGATTCCCACCACCCTCAGATGAAGAGAGGCCCCCAGTTATACCATTTGGTAGCACCCCAAACTTTTCCTCCACTGTTTGCAATTAGCAAGTAAGTTTCTTTCCTAAAGAAGCACAGCCTATAATAAGACCCAGCCATATCTAACATATTGAGTGCCCCGCACAATTCTTAAGTCACTTATTCCCTAGAATATCCCTATGGCGGAGACACTCTCATTGTTCCTCTTGTGCAAATGAGAAAACTGAGGCCCAGAAGAGTTAAGCTACTCACTCATTAAATGGCAGCACTAGGATTCAAACCCAGGCTTGAATTCACCTGACTCTGAGACCCTGCTGTCCCCACTGCTCTCTCTGCTAACCTGATTAAGGCGCATTGATGGGCAGGGAAAAAACTGGCACTTATTTGACAAACAATTTGGCCAACACCGACTGGCACCCACAGGAGTCAATAGCTCCAGACAGACAAGGCCCAGGAGGATCTGAGGGTTTTCGCAGGCAGGACTTCAGAGACAACGGGGCTCATTCCAACACCTTGGGAAGGTTCCAGCTGGCTTCTTCACACCAGTCCCGCCATCAGTTACCCACGGTGATAAGTCCTTCATTTAAAATTTGCACAGAAGGATGCACTAAAATCAACATGGCTTTC